CTGGGTGCGGGGGTGGGTCTGAAGCCGTATCTGGATGCAGCAGCGCTGGATTCTTTTTAATTTCAGTGTTATTAGGAACTGTACTACCAGTAAAACTGAATTTGAGTGACTTGTGTAGAGGTTTATTCCTTTTGTTATGTATACCACTATTACACAGCTTGACCTAGTGTATCATGGGGGCTATTAAAAGTTTAGATTTTTGGAGCTTGTATACAGGGTTATTTATATAATAATGTGACATTACTCAATACTGACAAAACTACTTAGGTAGTTTTTTGGGTTTGGGGTGTTTTGGGCGTTTGTTGGGGGGTTTTTGTTTTGTTTTGGGTTTGTTTTTGGTTTTGTTGGTTTGGTTGGTTTGTTGTTTTTTTTTTTTTTTTAATCTAGTGCTTTTTTATTTTAAAGTTAGAGAAAAGGAGGAAATGTGATCTGTGTATTTTCTGCTAAAGGGCCTGTGGTTTGCCTGGCTACCAGCCTTGCAGGTCAGTAATAACACTTCCTGGTAAAGGACTAAATGTCCTTTTCACGCTACTGTTTGTTTTTCTAAAACCAGGATTTGCTTCCTTTGGAGGCAGGTTGCTTTCATGAGGGATAGTGCAACTTGTATGAGGGTTATTAAACATAGGAAAAAACATTTGTACTTGCACAGCTAGTTATAAATCACTTAATCTAAAATTCTGAACGTGCTTTGTCTTAAAGAATCTGACATTTTCCAGTAATTTTTAATCCTTTTTTGTGCACATGTTGATTTCCTAAATGTTAAATGCTTTGTTTAAAAATAGTGTTCTCTGTTGAGAATATTTTCATGGAATAAAAAAATCTTTTCATGGTCTGAGTAATTAGCTTCCCCATTTGTCTTCTGTTAAGACCAACAGGGAGACTTTTCAGCGTGAGGTCTGTAAGCTCTTGTTCTGGTGGTAGAACCTCTGCTGTCACCGTAGCTGGGGGGAACGGATCACCCCGTTTTGGTGTCAGTTTTGTTCTTAGCTTATTCCCCTCAAATACTTTCAAATGCTGTAAAGTAACATCTCACTCCAGAAACAGGCTTACTGACAACGAGCACATGCGGCTCCAACCATAGTTCTTGCCTAAATATTTATACAGCTTGTGAGAATAATGCTGATACACCAATTCTGTATGTGACAAAGTGGAATCTGCTGCTGAAGCACCCTTTATATAAACACCATGCACGCCGATTTCCTACTGAAAGTGTGAACAGCTTATGCTTTGCCTTCATCCAAAGGAGAAAACCAAAACCCCCAACTACTTACCAACATGATTCACCTCAGTAAATGAAGCAAGTTTAATATATACATACACCCACATTTACTCATATCTGAAAGCATTTTAATTATCTGGATTGTTTGTCCTTGCCATGTCATCATTCATTCCTGGCAGCATAGCTGTTGTGCAGGTTCCAGCGAAAGCCAAACTACTACAGATGTTGTCTTAAAAAAAAAAAAAAGAACCAACCGTAAGTTGTCCCAATACATACACAACTAATTTTCTACTTTCACAGGGCAGTGATAGTTGAGCCTTTTGTTGTGGTCACAGCTAAAAGATCATTTCTGCAACCTGCAAATATGCAAGTTATTTTGCATAAAGTACACTTTAATTCACAATTCTATGTACAGTGGTTTATAGTCATTAAAGGAGTATTATACAATGAATTTTCTGCAATGTCACTTAATCTATCATTTTATTTACACTGGTTGCTTCATTTTAATATTAAGATGCCAATGCCCTTACTCCTAGGCAGTATCAAAACATTACAACTCTGGGGAGATACAGAAAGCTGTAAGACTGTCTTACAGGGATGAGCGAACTGTTTGAAGGGATCATTAAATGACTTGGTGACACAGTAAATAAATAATTTGTTTGGAAATCAGTAGTTTTAAAACAAGTGTGCATTGTGCAGTTAAAAGTTCTAAATATCTTGTGAAACGCAAGAAGTCTGTGCAGTATCAAAATTGCCAAAGGAAAGCTAAGGTTATTTCAAGTGTATCATTTCAATAGTGTTTACAGTCTCATATACTTAATTGTTCCGCCTGCTTCACTGGAGGAGGTTCCAGCTTTCGGGAAAGTGCAGTTAAAATCTGGCTGAATTTCTCATATCTTTCATTTTGATTAACTTGTGCTCCTTTGCTGCCCCAGAGCAATCTCATTTGAAATTCTGTCTTGAAGATTTCGCTCATCTCTTCGTCTGGCTGGAAACCTAGTGAGTAAAAAGAAGCCCACAACATCACCATCAGGCAAGTTTATTATTCAGAAGAAAGGGCTTTTGAACTGTATTCCCTCCAAATAAGATAAGCTTTAGTGTGCTGGGTTCCTTTTGCACAATGATTTTAACAAGCGAGTAAAACAGTAAAAACCCCGTCCGTCTGCGACATTCGAGTAGCGCACAAGCGGCTCTAGGGCCGCTGGGACAGGCCCTCCTTCGCTCAGTTCTAATGCTCCAGGGTTGTCATTGTAGCCTGACCTTAAATACAATTACTGATGTGTACGTGCTTCCTGCAGAAATACGTGTCTCTCCCCTCCCTCAACTTTCTCACTGCAAGTTTAAAATCCAAAGTCACATTATGGACATGGTGCCGCTTTCTGGCTGCAAGCGGGCAAGATCTCAGTGTTGCATCTTGCGCCGCTGTAAAGAATCTCAACTGTGATGGGTGGTGGTCTATTTGCAAAAATCGGAGTAGGAATTTTAAATCATACATTAGACAGGAAGTTATCCTCGGTCCTTACTGTACTTCTGTTCAGTTGCTAGAAGGGTCAGCCTATTAAGTCATGAGAACTTTGAGTATGTTTAGCAAAACCGTATCCTCTCTTGCTTACTGGAGAACTGCAGCGATGAATAATTTACTGTCTGCTTTTAAACAATATTGATGTTGTCCTCAGACTGAGTTTCCCGCAGGACATATGCTATTATCTCTCAGCTCCCATGAAAGAGAAGAATTTCTTGCGCTAACTTTTAGTGGTGCTTAAGCACCAGACCTTACTCTTCAGAGCTAGCCCAGGCGTTCCCTTCACGTGCAGCAGTTTCCCCTACCAGCGCTGCCTACCTTGCAGCATCCGTTCCGCAGTCGCGCTGTACATTTCCGCGTTCTGCGCTATCTGACGAGCTGTGGCCAAGTGCCTGAGCATTATTTCGCAGCTTTGGTCAGTGCTCTCCCACAGGTCCATGCCTTCAAATACGACAGCTTGGCGTTCCATCAAGGTAACGAGAGGCATCAGCAGCGGCACCGTTACGTTGTTCTGTGGAGCACCGGCGGTCTCTGGGATAGAGAGTAACAAACGAATCGTATCATCGCACATTATAAAACCTGCTGAAGAAGGCAGTGTAGCTGCAGTGTTCCTTTTCAAAGTTGGAAACTACTCTTTGTCTTCCTTCTTTCAAATCGGCACCTTACCTCACATACACCCGTCCTCCCAGTTTCCAGTGAACTGGTTGGGTGAGACGGCCAAGGCAAATTAGTGTGGGAAAGCTGTATTTGCTACAGGAGAAGGCTCTGCTGAATTGTTAGACAGTGGCACAGAGATTTTTAACACATTTAAAATCCATTCCAATAAATTCTGTGAGGCTAAAAAGTTTCCCACCTCCCCCTCGCACCCCTTTGGAGCTGCAAAGAATCTTGATGCAGGAGCACCTGATGTGATCAGAGGAATTACCCGACTAACCCAGTCTTTGTATTTGAGGATTCGTCCTCTGATTCCAACAGGCAAAGCAAATAAAAAGCAAAATCTGCCAGAAGGAACTCTCCTCTGAGGAAGAAGGAGGTTTTTTTCCTGTCTTTGAGGCAAGATGATGCAGAGCATTTCGGTTTCTGCTCTGCAAAGAGGGAGTGTGGCTTTGGGTGGAATGCTGCATTCTGTGTGGGTACGTGCACGCACCGACGTCTGGCTGGCAGACTGCTCCCTTCTATTTAATTTTCTTACACTGCGTTATACAGCCGCACGTAGTCAGTTACGTAGGGTGTGCAGCCATCGGAACGGCGGCTGCCTCATCTCCCCGCACAGGAAAGCAGCAGTGGGAGAGTTAGAAGGCTGAGGAGAAGCCAGTGTCGCTCATACTCACTGTTCCACTCCTGCTGTCCTTCATGCAAAGCTTTGCTGAACGGCTTCAGCTGTTTTTCGTACATAATGGCAGTCTGGGTGTAACGATGCCTTAGAGAGGTCCAGGTTTGTTCTAACCGGGTGACCTGTTCAACCAGAGAACAACCATTACTGACTCCGTAGCAATTCACAGGAAAAGCACGCTGCTAGTGGCAAAGCTTCTGCTCTGATGAGCTCCCTAGTCTTGAAGAAATCATATTTTAATTCAATTCAATAAACCATCAACCAACTCCGTGTTTTGGAACATAACGAGATTTCTAACCTGTGGCATTTCCAGTGCTTTCATAATGGCGGAAAACGCGTACAAATCCCCCAGAGAGTCCTTCAGCTCCACTGCGACCTGGATGATCCTGTTTAACGTTGCTGCTCTGTCTTCCAGGTTTTCTGTGCAACCCAAGACATCCACAGCTATTCCTATCGCCATGGTACTGTGCCTGTAAGTGAAACAATTTATACTACTGGGTACAAATCATTAAATTAATAGTACATTAAGCTGTACATGTGTTCAGAGAAGATCAATTCAGAGGTATATTTCCATATCTTGGTGTGCCCAGCAAACTTAACTTACCCTTACCAACATCTTTGTGTCAAGAGCAGTAATGCCATCATATGGAATAATGTATACAATGGCTTTGAATTTGTTTTTTAATAATTTTAATACGTTTTCCTAAGGTACTACTACTATACAAAATTCTGCTCAAGCAATGAATGAATGAACACTTCCTGGAAAATTGCCCCAGTTCCCTTTGTCCTCCACACTCAAATCCTGGGACCTTCCCCCTAAATTTCAGGAACCAAACTACTGCAATCTGAATCGGAGAAGCAGAAAAGCTAGACCAGGGCCAGAAGGCCCTAATTATCGCCCCTTAACTTGTGCAGAGGTTTTACAGAAAGCTTTGCTGATCATTTTTTCCCTTTACTAGATCCTCTAGCCTCTTCCCCAGCTGCAGAAGGCTACCACCTTCGGTCTCTTCCACACACGCCGAGATGCTCACCAGGTTACAGTTCCCCTGAATTTCAGTTTACCTGAGCTCTTAAAGGAGAGCTGAGCGTGTTTTAAGGACCCTGCTTTCGATACAATTCCCCTTTCCCTGTATTACATAGAATTCCCTGTATTATTTCCCAGGTATTACATGAGCTGCCCCATGACCTGAAGGAATTTTTCTCATGCAAAAAGAAGTTCTGTGCCATCTCACTAAATTATCTTCTGTACACATGAATTCAGAAAACATGCAGGAGAGCATTCTTTGAGGATACGTAGAGTACAATGTAGCAACGATCCAATCTTCTGGCTGTCTGCCCTGGAAAGAAGTAACAGGAACATTTACCTTTCAATTAGGTCAAGGCGCAGTTGATGTCCGTAAGGCAAGGTAATCAGTTCAAGACCAGAGTTCACTCCCATAATCCTCCTCATCTCTTCAGAAACTTCTAGTATCCTCGCCACCTGGCAAGTGCAAAAATTTGTGCGTGAGTTTTTAAACGAGCTTACTTAAAAAAAAAAACAAAAAAAACCCAAACCAAACCAAACAAACCCTATCCACGTAGACGTCCTCCAGGTTAGCGCAGGGCACACAGAGCTAGGTGCACAGCGTGCAACATTCAAATAGTCATCTAAGAAAAACTTAATTAACATATGCACATTCAGTGCCTTACACAAAGAGACCAATGAAATATTTTTTTTTTCATGATTCAGCCATCAGAAAACATATAAAAGGTGTGACCAAAATGCTTTATCAAACGTCTGTCCGCCACTTCCAGAAAGATTCAGCTGCAAGCTCCAGGAAAGGCGGTGCTCTCTTGGCCTGACCCTTGTCGGGGTGGCACTGCTCTTTGGCCTTAAAGACGTACACACGTGCTTCGCCGCCTTCGTTTCTAAAAAGACAGCTGCTCAGAGTGTTTTTGGGTCCTACTACCACAGGGTCCTCGTACGGATTAATTAGTAAAAGGACTTTAAGGAGGACACAATGGTGAGCGCCTATGTGAAAGCTGACACCCTCACCAATTTGTCTTTGCTTTTTAAACATACAGTATTAGCAATAACAATTATATATGCTAATTACAAGCAAAACCACATTAATTAGCTAATGTGAGGTTACCTGTTGGTTTAAGACCTGTATGGCAACACATTTACAAACCGATCTGCCTGCTGTTCTCTGATAAGCCCATCAGCAGGCTTGCTTGGTTACGAAAAGACGACGGCAACCCGGGCCACACAAGCAGCCTCACTGGAACAAAATCCAGCACTAGAGAAACCTGTTTCGCTTCCAGAGACGCAGGCGTGATAGGAAGCCCCTGGAGACACAGCGAGTGCTGCTCCCTCGGCACCAAACGCCCTCTCAGGCATGCAAGCGGCAGACGTTCACTCCACCGCTTACCATATGGGTGCTTCTTTCATCATTAGACATGTCATTATTCAAAAGGCAAACTGAGCTACTGATGCCACGAGAAGACCTGCGAACCGCAGCCTTATCGCAGACCTCGGTACAAAGCATTTACTCGGGCCCAGTTCAGGTGCCAGTCTCATTGCATCACGCAGTTCCTCCCAGGGCAGCGGTACGCAACCAGTTCCCAAGGAACGACAGTCACTGGCTCGCAGCATCGCAAGATGAAGACAGAATAGACTGCTCTACGCGTCCCAGCTAGTTACTGTTCCTGCTCCAAAATCCAAAAAATCTGTTCCTGTAAAACTCTTCAGTGAGTCTTAATTAATTGTACAGGCTCCCACGCTTCCAGCAGGCCAGTTTCCTTGGCCCCATTCCAAAGTTTACAGGATTTAAAATAAGGAGACTAATAATGAGCTAATTGAATGCTATATATATATATACACACACACACACAAAAAAAACCCCTTACTACTTCTCCAAGGCATGCATATCCTATGCCTTCAAGCAACATACTCTAACAATATATTAAAAGACAATCAGGTTATTGTTATTAGGTCGAAGGAGGAAAAGGTGAATTTTGGAACTAAAACGTTAAGAGAATGCCATTACCGCTCTTGGAACCATAGTAAAGAAGCCACAGTCTATCACTTCTGAAAAACCCACGTGGAGCTGCCTTTTTCTGAGTCGCCATGCCCGCACGAAGGCTCCCTGAGCAGCAGCCAGCGCTGCTCCCGAGGAGAGAAGCCGTGTTTGCTGCTGCAGGCACTCACGCGCGCACAGCCCACCGCTGCGCCGGCGAGCTGCCCCCTTCCCAGGCCGCAGCAGCACGAGGAGCGCGCCACGGATGCGTTTCCTCCGAAGCCACCACCATTCCCACTTCCTTTCTTGTTGGCAGTGGAGTTGCCCACTAAGTAGGCACGTGTGTTGCTTCTCAAGCTGCTCTTAAAAAACCCGACCAACCAAAAACCACCCAAGCCCGTGACCCTGGGCTCCTGGAGCTGCTCCGTGGCAGGTACAGCGCTCGGCCGTCCCAGCAAAGTGGTGCAGATGCAACCGCGGTTGCATTTCTTTTATTACACGCCATCATCATCTCATAAGGAGATGACTAATCCTGTCTTTCCGTGTTTCTGATCCTATAGCTGTTCTCCAAGCCCTGCCAGCTGAACAAAGGCTACGTTGTGAAAAATAGGTCTTTGTGTTTTTATATCTTTCTAAACATTCCCACTAGCAATACAGTTCTCTCGCAGGAGAGCAATGCAGACGTCCTGACAGCTATTTTCCCACACCACGTATCCAGCTGTAAGACAGAGACTCAGACAAAGACTAGAAGAGCAGCCAGCTTTAGAAGTTCCACCGGACATCTTGTATTACAGCCAGCAGTAACAAACCAGGTAACATCTGTCTACTGTTTGCCCTTGCAAGCTAACTAGCCGTTTCCTGTCACGAGTAGTTCTCTCCACAATGGTTACAGCGTAGATGGCTCTTCCTCCAGTACAGAAGAAAGGCTGAGCCAGAGATACACGGCAACCATCAGAGATTAAAAAGATAACGGAACACTGAGAATTTGAGTCTAAAGTCAAGGATGGCAGGAGACCTTTAGTCCAAAGGGTTTGTTAATGTTCTTGTTCTTCAAATGGGGGGGGGGGAACCAACCCAAAACAAACCCAAACTTACCCTAAAAATTCCTGCAAGCAAGTCAATATATTTATTACATTAGCTGCAAATGTACCCATTAATCTTTTCAAATCAGTTCTTTAAAAAGTCTAAACTTGCACAATATAAAATAAAATACAAGAAAATTAATTTTTTTTTTTTACCTTGCAGTCCATTCTAAGAATATGCTGTGCAATAACCTTTGGATTGTTGTTGGTGAAAAGCTCCTTAACTCTTCTTAACATTGATCGTTCCAATGGCTTGTTTTCAGGAGGAAGTAGTTTGGATTCAAAATCATTCGGTTTAAAACTAGACACCGTCTCAAAAACAGGTGCAGAAAAGATGCTGCCTTCTTCAGCCATCTCAGCTGAAGCTTCTACAGGCTCTGCAGAGTTCACTGTAGTGTCATCTTCCAGGATCATATAGTTTGTTCCAGAGTTCCTGAACGAGTGCGCTCCCCTCTCCTTTTGGGTCAGATGTTCCACGTAGCTGTTTTTCGGGCAGAGACGTTGTTTTGCGGCTGCAGGCTCTCTGGCAGGGCTTAGTTCACAGTAGTGTCCTTCTGAACCGTGGGAAGCCAAAGGAGAATCCGGGGGCTTCATCAGGGCTGCTTTGCTGGGTTTAGGTGGAGGCTTCGGACAGAGCTGACTGTCCGACCCTCGAAGAGCTTCCCCTACTTGTGACTCGGAGGTGACTTTCTGAACAACCGCGGGGCTTAGAGAAGGTTCGCTGCCTGTCCTAAATGCAGGAGGGCTTGGGCAGGAGTCTGCATCTGCTTCAGGTAATCGAGACGGGTGTCTTGAACCTGCGGGGGAAAACGGTAATTTAGAAGGCCAAAACATACAATTCCTGATGCCCGTCCCAGGGTTCATCTCAATGCTATTTCCCGAGGAAAACATTGTCAGATTACGTCAATTATTTGCTGACAAAAATGTATATGAAATTGTATTTTGAGGAATGAGCTAGCCAGCAAATTCCATTCACTTGCTGATCCTCCCAAAATCCCAGATACACAGAACAGCTGCACCATAATATTATTCTGTGGTAATGCTGACAATAATCCCAGTCCCTGCTGCATACATAGGCTATACTGTCAGAGCTGGATAGTCTCCATGGCTTGGAATAGGAGGTTTCTTTGTAACCTGATCTAGGCTATAAAAACAGAAACTTCCAGCCACACCACATAAAAGATGAGTCACTTCTGAGAATGACAAGTTTGAGATGAAAGAAAAGCTTCCCAAAGTCAAGCCTGAACCTGCGATAAGGTACAGAAGGAATGAATTTCAGGGATGCTAATCTTTTTGCTAAACAGTAGCTGATTTGAAGAGCTGGCGAAACACAGCCATATCCTTCTGGGTATTTATGCCTCAGCCTGTACTCACTGCACACGCAAACCTCGGCATCCAATATAGGACCGAACCCTACGTCGGACATTCCCAGTCTGCAGTTCTGAGTGCGTTTGCTGGTGTCTGCAGCAAAGTGGCCGGTTGCATCATGTGGGCTATACTTGTTTCCAGCTGGCTCTCAATTTACGCAGCCAACTAAACCTGCAAATCACAGCTCGTCACTGCTCGTAAGCAGTGTGGCACCAGAACCTGCTCGGAGGACCCCCTGACAAAATGCACAGCAGTACTCTTCAGATTAACTGTTTTAGTACAAAAAGAAAAGTTTTCGCAGCCATGGATTGGATCAAGATAATCGATGCCATTACAGATGGACAGAAACTTGTTTTATGAATGTCTGTTCATCCCACTGTTAAACACAGGCACACACCCTGTCCGTCAAAATACAGTCTCACTAGACAAATACTGAATATTAGCTTTGTCTCGAGAAGGCTTTCCACAACAGGCACTATAAATTTTAACAGCTACCGTATTCAAAATGACCGGCAGCCCTGGAAGTCAAACACGAGAATTTGTCCACAGGGGAACAGATGCATCATTGCAAGCTTCCTCACACAGTCTTGTTAGTTTGGAAACAATTGCTTAAACCTCTGAAGAATCCGAGAGAGAAAAAGCCAGGATCAACAACTGACCAAGTGTCGGTACACCCTGTGTCACTGGGGTAAGACAGTGACAGTGGCCGTGGAACCAGACAGCAGCAAAGGTGTTGAAAGGAATGAAAAACAGAAGGGATGGGAGGGAGAGAGAGATTGAGAGAGACAGAAGGACAGAAGCAAATACAAAAGCCATGGTGGTGCTTTTTTCCCCGGTGAGGAACACTACCACATCTGCATACTTTACCCTGAGAAAAAGCCGTTACCAGGATTTCCATGAAACGCCGCTTCTACTTAATAGACTTCTGTCAGAATGGCATGAGTGAAACTTGGGCTTGTAAAGCAGAGGTGAGGAAAGGTAATACTGTCAGAAGGGATATGAACGCCAACTGTAGCTGTCATGTTTTTGGTGTGGAAGCCTGCCGAGTTGTGTGCCAAGGTACTCAACTAGCCGGCGCACTGTACATAAAAAGCTGTCCCAAGGAATTACGGAGCAAGCATGTCGCTAACACAGCTTGCACTGGCCATTAAATATAACTGTATGTACAGTACTCGGAACACTCAGCAGCCTCCCCGTGGTCTGAAGTGCAACGGACCACCTGGGCACACACAGATTCTAAGTGTGAAACATTTAGTTACGAGACGTACCTATCAGCAGATAGCTCTCTGACTGGTGAGCCTTTAGAGGGAATCTTTTCTCCAGAACATGATCCAAGCTAGCTGGCTGGCTACCGCTTTTTTCTTTGTTTCTAGGGTAAACAAAAATGCAAACAAAAACATGTCAATATATCCAACACTCTTAACATACGTAACTAATTGCCAGAATGTATCATAACCAGGGCAAGGATCATTAGCTTTCCACCTGGGCAGCTTATGAGAATAAAAGGTACTTCATGCTGTTGTGGTAGCAATGAAATGGGCTGTAATAACGCGTGACCCTGCAGCGTTTGTGAGGGTGTTTCTTTGAATGTTGAGACTTTTTAATGGAACATTTGATTGGGACACTGAAATTAGGATCCATTATCCCACGCTTGGTATTTCTATTGCGGAAGTCAAATATGGAAAGAAAGACTTCTCTGGAGCAGCAGCAAGATTTTATTTTAATCCTTTGTCTTACACTGCTCAGGATTTGCCAAGTCACTGAAGAACAAGTTGCACTGCTGTTGTGCTTCCAGAGTCTACATTTGCTCCCGCTCTGTGGATTCCAAATGAGTTATCCCTTCCCCCTCGCCAACGTGCACCAACTTGCAAATGGAGAACCAGAGCCAAAGCCGTCACCATCTTTAAGCAACTAATCCCTTTGGAACTGCAGACGGGCATCTTGTTTTTCCAAAGATATTTTCAAAATCTGATTATTGCGCTCATTTACCAGTCTGCTAGAATGACTTTTTTTTGCTAGGCTAATCAAACGGCATTCAGGAAGCACTATTTTGTCGCTATTGTAAGGCAAATATCAGGGGTGAGAGCCTCCCCATAAGCCTGGGCCATGCTCGGGGTCTCACGATGAGTGAAGAATGTGTGCAGCCTTGCTGCTTACACCATGGCTTCATCCATCCCTGCTTGTTTTACCTCCTTAACGTAGCTTAAATTTTCTAAAGATCAAGCCCCATAACCACAAAGTAGTTGGCATCTTCTTAACAACGTCAGGAAGTTTCAAAAAATCAGGCCCTAAAAAAATCCTTTGCTAAAAATCAGCGAGCCCTCTCGCCTCGCCTTCCATCTAAATCAGTGAAAATTCACATCACCTGCAGCGGGAGCTGGTAGAGTTACCTCATTTCCCTCCACAAGTACAGCAAAATTAAAGTACCTCAAAAGATTTCCTCTGGGTATGCTCTGCTCCGGGGATTGCATGCTGGATATACCAAGACTCAGCCTTTTTGCAGCTTCTGTTTTTCTTTCAGGGATACTTGGCTCTTTTTGTCGGACTGGAGTTACACCATACTTTTCTTCTAGACACCTGAGAGGCACAGTCCTGTTGATAGGCTGAAAAATAATTGCTCCGCTCTGCTTTGATATCGGTGTGCGATTCCCAACATAGTATCTTACTAAGCCGGGGATACTGTCGAAACTTTCAAGTTCAAACTGATATTGAACACGGCAGTAGGCTTCATTGAGTCTTAGAACTGTTCTGTTGATTTTAAAATGCTGAGAGCTATTTTTCCACTGACAGGTAAGAACAAAGTTCCCAGGACTGGAGAGAGAATCCCTAATCAGAAAATCTCCATCTCTCTGAACTAGGCCTTCTGCCACCTTTGAGGAAAAAGAATTATACAAAAGAAAAAAAAAAAACCAACAAACTTTCAGAATCAGAAAACAAGTTGTCAAACAACACATCACAACTAAATATTCTCAAACATAGGGCTTAATTTGGCTGCTCTGGGAGGACAGACAAAGCCAGAAATACAAAGCAAAGCATGAAGGGTGGTAGGAGAATGATGTCTCCAATTCTAAAATTAGGAGCTCATCCCACAGCAGAGATCTGGAGGGGCTTCTTGGAAAACGCCCAGCAGCCAGAAGCATGACCCATTTTTGCATATATGTCTCTTCTAGTTTGCTAATAGAAAATAAGGCCTGAAGGGAAAGCAAAGACTCAGGATTTTTAGAGTTTAAAGCATCTGACTAGACGGTCACACTGAAGTTTAGAAGCCATTACTACAGGACCCCCGAAATTGTCCTTTCATTATTACCTTCAGTGACAGAAGCTTTCATTTTTCATTCTTTGTGAATACTGCATAGTACTAGGAAGCATCAGAAAAATCCTGTTTTTCTGTTTTGAGTTAATCCTTTCATGTGACAAACTACGCCTCTAAGAGTTAATGTTAAGTGCAGCGGACGTGGCTGCTGTGCCGCTCTCCTTATTTAGGTGACGGGCAGCAGGCAGCTCGCGGCGCTGGTGGGAGCCGGGTACGCGCCGGAGGGAGCTCCAGGTGCTCTGGGAACCTAAGCTCTGATCCAATGACAGCTCTAACACGGTTTTAACTACGATTGTAAGGATCAAAATTCAATTGTTGCACAGATTTTGTTGTGCGGTTTTTTTTCCCTCCCTCCCCCAAACTCCAAGCGCAAAAAAGAAAATAAAACAACATTTTAACTTCGGTTAAGAATACTGAACCAAATTAATGTTGGTGTGTCTGAACAATACGTGGGGATAGTATGCTCATATAAAGCTTAAGCTCCATTTCTGCCTTTATTCAGTGCACACAAATATTGAAATATCTGTATTTTCCACCAGCGTCTGCCCTGAATCCTTCTTCACCCTCCTTTTATGCCAAGCCGTGATAAATACCATAGCTTTCACATGAATAAGCATTATGTTTCTACTAAATTAATGCGGATATCAGAGATATGTATAGTACTTTAGTGCAATTCTGCTTGCCTATAAAAGCTCAAAGCACATTTGGCAATGCAAAGACCATGTACCTGCCGAGGAATACGTCCGTGGTACCAGGCATGGCTACGCAGGTCTTCACTACTTAGCTGCAGTTCTTCCTCTAACTCCTTCTTCAGTTTTTCTGGGCTGTTGTCTGTAACTTGCCTCTCCCTAGAAAACTGCAATAAAAGATTAAAAGCTTCAACTGTGCCAAGTTTAGTGGTTAACATTTTACCTGGGTTATAACTTCCATCACATGGTCTGCACCAGCCACTGGAATGCAGGTGCTGCCTTGAGCAGGCTGGCTTGGCTTCGCTCTCTGGATTGTGTTTGCAAAATCCAGCATTCGGTGAGATAACGTGATTGTTTTAGGCTGCACAGAACAAAGTGTTCTGTCTGTACACCAAGCTAATAATGACACACCTACAAAGTCCCTTCTCTTACTTCCTCTTCCCAATAAGAATTCTAACTCTATCCAAAAAAAACAGAGCTGGACCCAAATGCCCTGCTCTAATATTCTTCCTCCTGCTTAAAATGCCATTTTAAATTCAGAATCTTCCCACACACCCCCCAGCTTTGAACCCATCCAATTAAGAACATTCCAAATGCATCAAGACAGGCTAACCTGGCCATACGTAGTTGTTCAGTATTTCTGACATAATTGTTTAGTATTTCTGTTGCACTAAAAAAAAGTTTGCCACAATAAATTTTCAACCTTAAAGGGCTTACTTCTAATGGTCATTAAATCTGCATGTCCAAGGTGTTGTCTTCGTAAGGGGAAAAAAGTTTTGCTGCCCCTTAGCACAAAAAGCATGCGATCTACTTGGAGACACCTCCATCACCACTACACAACTACTATAATAAGATTTTCTGGAAAATTTCAGTCTTCATCTGTTCTTTGAGTACAGTTTCCACGCGGGACCACTCTGGCTCACTAGTCCTCCTCGTGCAAGCGGCGCTGCTAACAAGGTAAGGCGCAGGATCTTCTCTAGAGAGTTGTCACGTCCTCATTCATAAGCACGCAGTGGAGGGAAGTTCTTCGGACTTCCTTACATTCTCCAAGGGCTGGGAACTCCAGCCCATCTTTACTGTTGCTGAAGAGTTCCAAAAGCCTAAGATACCCAAGGTTCGTTGCAGGGAACGTGTTCTACATTGACGAAAGAGTCAGAGTACACCCTCTCTTAAAAGAAAATACATTTTTAAAAAGAGAGAGGGAGAGAGAGGGGGGCCTCCAGCTGGAGAGCAGACTGAAGCGCAACATTTTCCCCCAGTGCATTAGGGATTTTTTTTCTTAGCTCTGGCTATGAGCCAAAGCTCACAGGTTCCCTTTCACTGACACACTGATGTAAATATGCAACACATGCATTATTTAAAAAAGAACTGGGAATGCTCGCCCACCAATCCTATTCTTTCCGTGAACGCTGCTCTCTATAGCATTTTCATCTTCATATTGAGTACTCCCAGCACCTAACCGTGGGAGCAGGTGGCATACATTTAGCGCTTCTTTCAACCATCCTCCCTGCAATTTCAAGCAGACTGAATTACAACAGATTACTAGACAGCAGATTTTTGGTGGAATAATGCCAGAAGAGGCATCCTGCTGCCAAGACTATTTAAACGTGCTGGGAGCCCAGGGAAATTGTGAGATAAATTCTCCTCTTCTCTCTGCTTTTCTCAGAGAAAACTAAGGCTTCTCCTAGACAAACACAAATGAGCATAGTAGCTTTTACGGGAAGGCAACAGATAAAAACAACGTGGTAAAGAATCGCTTTTCACCTCCGTTTTGCTTCTGTGAACCATAACAGGGTGGTATTTATCCATACAAATGTGGTTCAAAGCGGACAATCATTTTCAACAAGGGGTAAATCATTTGTGCTTTTTGTACAGTGAAGGTCTTCCGCCAACTCCTCCCAAGCTTTACGAGAAGAAAAGCCTGCAGGAGCAAACCGTGCCACAAAGGCAGACCTTCACTGCAAGGGCTCTTTCATGAAACCATGCCCAACATGGTGAAGAGATTAAGTTACTGGTGAAGAGATTAAGTTACTGGGTGTAGGAAGAGTCATAGAAGAGGCTTGATGAGGACTGGAGTCCAAAAGCCTATCAAAGTATCAAAACACAGTCAAGCAAGGCCAAAAATCCCCCCCTCCACTCCAAACCCCTGTGACCTACCACACTAACGTAGCTGAAGGACTAGTGCCACATGCCTCTCGCCTTTGATTCCCAACTCCAAGGGCTGGGTACCCATTTAAGGCTGACTGGCACTGGTTCCAGAATTAACGGTTAACCATTCCACTACCACGTCTTACAGAACGATAGCAAGTATTAGAGCATTTCCATCAGCTGAAGGCAGAGCAACAGCACACAAGTTGAGAGTCCGTTTTTCAAGAGCACCTTTCCCCTGACCGTGGGGGAGGAGAACTTTTAAAGTATCCCCTCCAATCTAGATAACAGCGTTCGGCTGTAATGGTATGCAAGTCTTTTACATTCATAGCTGTGTGTTTTGCTGACCTTCTGCAAGGAACTACCACTTTTATGTGAACTGCATATAAGTTTTTGAAAGATGCTTTTGACTGAATAGAGATCTTAAAAAAAAAAAAAAAGCAAAACAAACCCCGAGCTACTGTACAAATTGTTACCATCATTCCAAAAACATCTCACTGTACCTCAGTGGTAGGCAAAGCTACTGTAAATGGAACGGACTATAGCATGCAAATGCAATACCTGCATTTTCTTAGGAGAGCTAGATTCTTAGCCAACAAACAGGGCTATAGGTCTTTGCGTACGGACTAATTTCATCCATTGTACTGACACAAATTATCTTAAAAAAACAGGCTGATCAAGTTACAGATACCCATGAATTACAAATACAGCAGAGAAACCTAGAATTTCTTCTGGTGGTTAAATGGATTTTTCACTTCTCGAATGAACGTAATGAGACACATATTGCACTTGAATTCGACCTAACAACACAACAAGAAAAACATTTAAGGAATCCAGACCAACTAAATTGTTAACGTTCATGATTACTGGTTTGTTAAAAATCCTCTCCAGCATGGTCTACCACACTGAGCACGCTCTGATTGCCAGAGGTCAGACATCTCCCGAGATGAAGCAAACATGCTTAAATAACCCTTATGCAACTCTGAACTTAGTGGAAGAACTCCTGTGGCTAGCGCAAATCCCAAAATACACAGGGGGGAAACTGCCTAGGTAAGCAAGTTCAGTAATAGCAAGTCTTCCTGGACAGTTTGTTGTTGGCCAAGACCGATTTCTTATACAACCTACATCCATTAAAGGAGAAGTGTGACCGATGAACCGTCCGTGATCGTACCAGCCTATGCCTTTCTATTCTAAACACAAGGCCTCTGGTCCTACAAGAATCTCTGCGTACACCGAACTTCCCATCGCGCAAGTAAGGACTCAAACATCCCTCCAGGCACAGCCTACGCAAGCACGTGAGTCTGTAAATAAGAAAGAGCGTAAGCTTAGAACAGCGTAATTAGCTATGCCAATGGACTTTCTTTTAAAAGAAAAGGTGACCGATTCCACACAACGTGACGCAGATACTTCAGCCTCGTTTCCCAATAGCACGCAAAAGTTAACAGACAGTAATGGTTTGCTGTAAATTTGCACTAACTTCATAGCGACAAACCTTCATTTAGTAGTATGTCCTCTGTTTACTCGTCTAAGACATTTTTTTTTGGCTCCTGCCCAATGACAGAAAGAAACCTGAATTTACATTTACAGTTAGATAGTGAAGTGGATGGTAAAAAGAAATTTAAAAAAAAAAAAAATCTGAAAAAATCTTCAAAAAAATTTGAAGACTTCAGTATATGCTGCAACAAAACATAGTTGAAGCGACGCAGGGAAGCTTCCAGTATAAATTCTTTAGGATTTCCAAATAGTAACAACCCTGTCAGAGATCCCTGGAATATAAAAGCAAATCAAGTCAACAGAACTCTTTTCAAATACAGATGCTCTTCCTGACCTACAAAGAACTCACCCTAAGTATGTGCTTTCCAGAACCATTTGTTCAAATTTTAGTCACATTGTTTCCAGCCCAGGTCCTATTTTAAGATATTCCTGCCATACTGAGTTTTTGTGAACAGGTCTTTAAAATACAAAACTATTTAGCAATACAATATTATCAACCTCCAGCAAAAGCCCTCAATCCTACTTACATACCCAATGGAAAACCTGGAGAGCCAGGAGTTTAGAAAGGGGAAAACAATTTCCAGTCAGTACAGTTATTTTAGTGTTTTTAATAAATGCCACGCAAGTTTATTATATTTCACAAAGGATTTCTACTTCAGGGCCATTAAACTAAAAGCAGACTGTGCTTACAGATGTAACAAGCTACCCTTGATGTTACATGTTATTTTACATTTTTTTCAGGCAAATATTAACCTAGCGTACCAAAACCTGGAAAATATCCAAGTTTAAGGAAGTAAAACATCAAAATATGATCTTTTTCAGGGTAAATTTAAAGAGGACTTGACCTACCACAATATATAGTACCTATGAAACTTGTGAACACATTTTAATGGGAATTTCTCACAATAATCTGTTGTTTGTGCATGCAAGGGGTTACTTCCATTTGAGTGTTTGGCACTCTCCAAAGGCAGCTCACTGTATCAAGCTCTTGTGTCAACCATCCTAGCTGAATTTATCATGTTAAATTAGAATAATTTTTAATTGTGCTGAATAATCTACTGTATGAGTTTGGTGGTAAACCAAACAGAAGTCCCACAGTTATTTCTGTTGCCTACTGGCAGTGGGTTCTTTCTCCAGTTCGTATCTGCAACAACTCCAGTGAAGTACGTGTATCAATGGAATATCAAAATAGCTGAGAGGAGGATCACACAGGTTTCTACATATATACCTAAAGTTGCATCATATGTGTTCTAGCTTTCCTGGCTTACCTCAATTGTTATTAATTAATTCATCTTTAAGGTGATCAAGTGTTTTTTTTTTTTTTAACTCTGGGTTGTTTTTGGTGGGTGTTTGGGGGTGTTTTTGTTGTTTGTGGTTTTTTTTTTTTTAAAAACAGCTTGAATTTTACTTTTTAGACACAGTTTGGAAGTGGTCCAAAATCTGTCATGCTAGATCATCTCCTTCAGTTCTGATAATGCAGAATTTCATATCACCTCTCTTTGTAGCCTTCTGGCAAAGTATTATT